TTGAGCTCTTCTTATTTGTGAGGTTGTATGAATGCAGGACACAATAAACTCCAGATCAGCTTCCCACATTGGGTCCTGAAGGCAGTATTGCCCCCATTTCTCTTCCTATCTGCTATGTAAACTGTGGTTTTAGATCTCCATTAGAACATTCAACAGAGGGACGCGGGTGGCGCTGTGGGTTAAACCACAGAGCCTAGAACTTGCCAACCAGAAGGTTGGCAGTTCGAATCCCCGCGACGGGGTGAGCTCCCGTTGCTCGGTCCCAGCTCCTGCCAACCTAGCAGTTCGAAAGCACGTCAAAATGCAAGTAGAAAAATAGGTACCGCTCTGGCAGGAAGGTAAACAGTGTTTCCATGCGCTGCTCTGGTTCTCCAGAAGTGGCTTAGTCATGTGGGTCACATGACCTGGAAGCTGTACACTGGCTCCCTCGGCCAATAAAGCAAGATGAGCGTCGCAACCCCAGAGTCGGCCACAACTGGACCTAATGGTCAGGGGTCCCTTTACCTTTAGCACATTCAAATCTTGAAAATGTTCCATGCAAGGCCTTATTCTTAGAAACATGACATGAGATGGTAACCCTGAGTCTGGCCTGGATCACTTCAAACTGAATATTCAGTCTTCCCTCTCTAGAAAAAAAAGGTTCACTAGAAAACTAGGCATAAAGGCAAAAGGTTTCAGTATAGTAGTTTCCCTGACATGCACAGTTTCCTAGGATTTTTTTGTATACAGAAGCATTCTGAAGTGATACAATCCAGACATAAGTTTACCAACTGAACTGCTGTTTTTGTAAAAAACAGAAATAGGCTACAAAAATATTATCTGAGTCCTACTGAAATATATGGTAACACTCCAGTTGGTTTTAATGGATCTAAGTAACATTACAAAAGGATAAAGGGGTCGCAGGAGGCGCTGTAGTCTAAACCATTGAGCCTCTTGGGCTTGCCAGTTGGAAGGTCGGCGGTTCAAATCCACACAACAGTGATGAGCTCCTGTTGCTCTGCCCCAACTTATGCCAACCTAGCAGTTGTAAAGCACACCAGTGGGAGGGTAAATGGTGTTTCCGTGTGCTCTGGCACTCATCACGGTATCCTGTTGCGCCAGAAGCAGTTTAGTCATGATGGTCACATGACCCAGAAAGCTGTCTGTGGACAAACACTGGCTCCCTCGGCCTGTAGTGAGATGAGTGCCACACCCCATAGTTGCTTTTGACTGGACCTAACTGTCCAGGGGTCTTTTACCTTTACCTTTTACCTTTACAAAAAAATACAATTACACTGTTTATATTTTAAAATAAATACATAAAGATAAACCTGATTTCATGCAATTAAGAAAGAAATGGGTAGAAAATATTTTTAATTTTTGCTCAAGGATTCATCCATCTATCTAATTTAGGCTGTCTTCTCTTACTATCCCGGAGTTTCATGGGAGGGCCTTTTGACATAATGCAGGATTAAAATTAATTTCATGTTAGTGGGAACTTCAGGTGAATGCCAGTGGGTAGCTTATTATTATTTTGTATCTACTTTAATTAGAATCTTGTGATACTCTTTTCAAGCATAAAACCAATTCTTGCAATGTGTCTGATACTACTTCTAATTTAATCCACTGTTCTGTAACTGATTTAATTTTTCATTGGCTTTATTTATCCAAATAACTTAAGGGGAACCTCTGGGAAGAGATTGGGATCATTCTGGTTGTTCAAGAACAACAAAAAAAAAATTTAGGAAACAGTAAGGGAACTGATGGGTGCATCTGAAACCACAGTTGCTGGCAGGTGCCTTAATCTATATCTAGAGGAGCAGATTAGGAAGGAAAGAGCAGAGTCCTGTGGGTCAGGCACTAATAAAAACTAATCTGTGCAGAGATACAAACTCCAAGGATTAGTGATGAAAAGTTTGCAAAAACTCAAAAATGAACAAGGGATCACAGAACCTGAAAGATGAAGTGTTTTAAGAAAGCCAAATGCATAATCAGCAATAAGCCCAGAGCAGCAGCTGAGGCTAAAATATTTGTTTTACAGTTCCTACCTATCTACAGTGTTGTCTGAGAGCATAGTTTGTGAGATACAGTTGTTGAACTTAGAACTTTGTATTGATCATGGTCACCTGGTAGCCCTGCACCAGCACTTGACAGATAAATAAGAAGGATACTTACATGAGAGAAGGCTTGGCGACAGACAGTGGGCATTGTAAACATGTTACTGTGAATCTGCATTATTTCGGTGTAGATTCCAGAAGTACTTACTGTGGACCAATACCAGGAAGTTTTAGACTACTGGATACATTACAAAATTTTGAGTATGTAGGATAGCAGCCAAGGGAATACTCAAAATGGATAATAAGTTAGGCATTTACAAAGCATGTGTTTAATAGAATGGGGTTTCTAGAATGGGGTAAATGAGATATATTTGTATATCTGTTGAAAGTATTAGCAGGTCTCTATCCTCTGGAGTTTAATGTTTGCAAGCTAAGGATTGGCAAGTATTAAAGAGGTTGCTTTGTCCTGTAATCATAAACATCTACTGGGAAAACTTAATTGGTCACGAGCAAAATTACATTGTAGGACTTCTTCATGGAAAAAAGATATTAAGAATAAACAATTGTGATTAGCTGTAAATTGCTTACCTAGAGAAGGATTCCATGGGACTACAAACAAATGGAGAAACCTACTTACTCCTTGCCATTACTGCTACATATCCTTAGGGGGTGGGGAGAAGATTGCTATTTCAAATTTAACTGTAAGTGCAAACTCTACACAGATTTCTAGCAACTTACTTATTCTCTTGTGTCGGACTCTCTAAGAATATGATTAAATAGAGCAATGGACAAGCAGACATAGGGTGAATACAGATGATCATTTACCATGTGGTAAGGCACTACAGTGTGCATATAACTACTCGCTAAGCCACTCATTTTTAATGTTGTGCTTGGTGGTGAGACCTTATTGCCTACTGTTTCTCTGGATTTCTCATTTAGTTGTGGTTGTGTAATTAGTTTCATGGCTTTGTTGAGAAATGTGGAAGACTGGCTTATCACTGCATGAACTACAGGTTTAGTTACCACTCAGTAAAATTGTGATCTATACTTACAGTGTTCTTAGAATTGTTAAAAATCATATTCTGCAAAATCCCTGAACCTCAGCTACCCTATAAAACCTCAATCACCCTACACATGTCATCAAGTCCCATGGATGGGATGGATCTTTTTGACCACCATTAGTCAACACCTAGAAGACAACACCTATAATGTCCATACTCTCCAAACTCAGGAAGAAAAGTCCCCAGGGGAGTTTTGACTGCATTTAGCAGTATGTTTCCAGCAATGGGAGCCTACAGCTGCACTGTCTTGGCAGTATCCAAGGCAAAATCACTGTTTGTCCCACCGATGAATCTGACGAGTACTCAGACTGCTCATACATTCTCTAATAGTGGCTTAGGGACTCTTTTTTAAAAATGCTGAACGAAGAAGCAGATTCAAATTTTCCTGTGCAATTTGCTCGTTAGAGCTACATGTATTTTTCGAATAAAACTATTTTCATTTATTCTAATCAGATGTAATGCACAACTAACAACTAATATACACTCCTTACCTGGGAATATGCTCCCATGAACTTACTTCAGAATAAGCATGTGTAGGATTGCACTCATAAGAGCTGGTTAACACAGGCCAGGGGCAAGTGGTAGTGAGGGACTTGTGGGCCAAATTAGATGCAATTGTTTGAATGTTTTACTTTATTTTATTTGGTGCAAGGAGTGTGCATATACATATTGGGGCTCTGGCAGGGGCAAATGATTAAATCACTCCCTTCCCTGACATTGGATCGGGTACCTATTTGGATTGGGCTCCCCCAGCTGCAATCTACTTTAAAATAAACATTCACTTGCATGAATAATGTCACATCTGTTTTGGCCCTGAGGGTTGTGCCCAGCTGGTATTACCTCTCCACTCCCTCCCAAATTAATTTCATACTCCCAGAGTTTTCTACGTCACGTGTAAACTTAATATAGCTTCTTAAATATTTTTATTTACTGATATGTTGTCTGGGAAATGGTTGTATTGGATAAGGGCATCAGGCAGCAAGGGCAAATTTCAAACAAATAAAAAGTTACCCTATATTGCATACGAATCCATTCCTGATGTGCAGTGTAACCTGATGGGTGTTTACTTAGACATAAGTACTACTGATTTCAATGGGTTCTTTGTGTTCCCAAGTAAGCATGCATAGGACTGTAGCATCAATTTTTTGTGTCATATTAGTGACTGATTGAAGGGGAAACTGTGAACTTAAAAGTTATCATGGCCTTTAGCAGGTACATTTTACTCCAGTTTTTCCTCTTAATGCTACTTACAGAAGTCTTACCAGAGCAATAAATGAGAATTTCAAGCTGAAATGGTTAACACTGGCTATTTTTTTTTAAGCCATTCTGTCTATTTGCTTACTATATTATCAGATTGTAGTGAATATATATTCCGTTTTAAAGCATAGCTTTATAAGATGATTCTGAAAAGGAGCATACAACTGAACTATTTATATAAATTTTAGTTCCTTAAACCTGCACATTGTACTAAGTGATATAAAAACTAGAAAATCTATTGACCAAATTCACAGCAAGCTTCATAACAAAGCAAGCAAGCAAACAAAAAGCAGAAATGTAAACAGGTGTATTTCTTGGATTTTTTCTTTTAATTAGAGGCTTTGAGCAAAATATATTCTTTAGACTTATGTCATAAATAAATATAATCTATTCTACTAAGCTGAAAGGCACAAACTCCAGCAGGGAAAAGGGCAGATAACCTCATAGACATATGGATGTTTGTTCAAATACATGCACAGACCAAAGGAAAGTACGTGGAACAATTAAATATGCAGTCCTGGGAAGTTTTCCTTTGTTTGTTTGTTTTCAAGGCTTGCTTTCTTAAGAACGAACTCTTATGTATTCAGATGTGCTTACAACTTTCAAAGGTTTAAAGGGCTAGAAAAATGTTGGGATTTGATTTTACCTGATCCCATCTGTGTAAGGCAGATGGTTATTGTCTGGATCTCTTGAACTGTAGTCCATGGTTCAGTTGAAGGGCAGTGGGCACAGCATGCATAGACAACTGTATCACCGCATGAGTTAAGCACAGGTCCACTCAAAGGAATGGTGGCTTTGGGGTGGGGGAGGATATTGGATTACATGCAAATCTAAAATAAAAAATAAAAAATTATCCAGCTTAGAGATTCATTACTGAATGAGATCATTGAGATCAAAGTATCAAACAAAAATGCAAATGTATTTATCTGTTGTAATACAAGCTGTCTCTGTGAAGCCCTGGAAACATTTCCTGTCCTTACATTTAAAAAGAAAGGGATTAAGTGCTTTCAAATGTATTAAATATTCAGCATTGAAAATCCCACAGATATATATATATATATATATATATATATATATTCTAATATATTATGATTGTGCCACACTATTGAAGATATTACTCATTAAAAGAGTGTATTGAAACTGCTGTTGAAGTGATATACAGCAAATGTCCAACTCCTAAGACTTGCTGATCCAGCAAAGCCATTTTATTTATTTTTTACTGGAGGCTTATAAGTTGTTAAAAGGTGCAACATCAAAATCGCTGCTGGTCTGTAATTTTGCAGTCACGTTATGCTAACAGCCAAATACCACGTCGTTGGAAATACTTAAGGTTAGGAATAATTTTATGTGCATTGCTTATATACATATGAAAGTCAAAGAGAACATATCACGGTGTTCTGTTGCGCCAGAAGCGGTTTAGTCATGCTGGCCACATGACCTGGAAAACTGTCTGTGGACAAACACTGGCTCCCTTGGCCTAAAAGTGAGATGAGCGCCGCAACCCCATAGTCGCCTATGACTGGACTTAACCGTCCAGGGATCCTTTACCTTTATTTTATGACCCTAGCACCACATCCAATCATTATAAGTGACTATGATGGTGGTGTACCAAGTGACTTCTGCTGATTCTTCATGCTTTCCCCCCATATAGTGGGTCAGCATGTTGAAAGGAGCCTTGGAGCTGCACATTTAGCATGCCCCCTCCAAATCACACTGTTCTTCTTGCCCCCACCATTGCATTTGATGTGTTGAGAACAATGTTTACAGCAATGAGCCTTTCCTGGGTGTGGAGGCTCCCTGCTTCAAACTTTGTTTGCTTCTTTGTTTGACTTATTAATTGCTCCAGGGAGAGGTTTCTAGGTAACATACAATGAAACAAAATTAAAACATCTAAATGTGATAAAATGTGGACTACTAGTAAATAAAAACAAGCTGAAGTACAACAAAACTTCAAATTCAGCACAGTAATATCAGATTAAGAACCCCACCCAGATACACACAGAGACCAATCATTAGAATTGAACAAGAACTAAAAAATAAGTAACATTAAAATGTTTAAAAGCAATTAAAGGGCTTGGGAGAAGGGGAAGGTCTTTGTCTGATGTGGGAAGGATATAAATGTATGCAGCAGGAGAGCCTCCCAAGGGATAGCATCCTATAGAAACTCTTTATAATTGGGAGGGAAATAGCAGAGGTGATGAAGATGAGTGATGATTTAAGGAGCTTCTTGGCTATCAGTAGCTGGTGGTATTCCATCAAAAGAGTGTTTGAAGGTGTAGACTAGACTGTCTATCGAAAGTTAGCTGTCAGATGCTCAACCTGCACTTCAAAGCTCACTTCAGGTGGGAGACTGTACAGAGGTCAAGTCTAGAATACTTCCTTACATACTCCCTTAACATTAAGAAATCCTGATTCCTATTCTCTTATTCCTGAGTTATAGGAACCCAATCCTGACCAAAAGACATGTCTTGGTTTACCTAAAATTCTAGGCTTAGTGAGTGACAATACTGGCATAGATACAACCTTCAGGGCAATCTGGTTCAGCATTTGATGTGGTACTTGTGTTTTCAGCTTAAATCATGGTACTTTGCCAAACACTCAAGAACAGATGTTGCTGGGCATCTTCTATCAGATTTCTAGTATGTGTCTTCGGCATGCCTCAAAATGCACCCTTTCTCTAGAACCTTATTTATACCGTCATCAACTGTTTTTTAAAGGCAGTGAAAATAGTCACTGTTGATTAAGTGGAAAACATTTTTGTTTAGAAGATTGCAATTGCAAAAAATGCTAACATCCATGATAGGCAGCATTACATTAAAAGATTGCAGGCCATTCTTTGGATAAAGTTTTTTGCTTGAACTTGAATATGCACTAACACTTGGGACTCCATACATGGTGAAATACACTGTGATACAGATGTGTCAGTTGTACAGTGGTACCTCGGGTTAAGTGCTTAATTCGTTCCGGAGGTCCATTCTTAACCTGAAACTGTTCTTAACCTGAAGCACCACTTCAGCTAATGGGGCATCCTGCTGCCGCCGCGCCGTCAGAGCACGATTTCTGTTCTCATCCTGAAGCAAAGTTCTTAACCCAAGGTACTATTTCTGGGTTAGCGGAGTCTGTAACCTGAAGCATCTGCAACCTGAAGCGTATGTAACCCGAGGTACCACTGTAATATGGAAACTTCAGAAGCAACTTTTACTTAAGAATACCCCCCTTTCCCAAATTAAGTTCAGAAAGCAAAAATGAGAGACATGTTCTATAATGTTTTATTGGAGTTTACAACTGTTTTTGTTTCATGACTCTTTGATAATTACAACTAGCTATTTATATTGTAACGTTATATACACTTGTGTTCTAGCTCTTAGAACTAGTAAAAATCATTACGTGGATTATTTTCAAGAGTAAATGATACAATATTGCGGCTTTCTTATCAGCTGGTTCAGGTGTCGGCAACCTAAGGCCCATGGGCCACAAGCGGCCCACAGGGGTCATTTAACTGGCCCCTGAGCCGCCCCTGAACTGAGCCACCCGCTCGGTGAGTCCCTGCGTGCTGTGCTGAACCAGTGCAACACTGGGACTCACTTCCGTGGCACCGGAAATTGCGTCTGCACAGACGCCGGAAATCGCGGGCACGCTGGAGTGAACCGGCCCAGGCGAGGTAAACCTTGCTGACCCCTGGGCTAAATGCACACCCTGAAAATCAAAGCAACATTCTAAGCAGGACTCTCTAGCAGTAAATGTTGGTTCTCTATCCCTAACCTAAATCTCAGCGATGCTCAGTGTTCAGTCTTAAAAAGCTGTTTTTTGAGCAGAGATTTCAGAGACATTCCCCAGGTGGATATCAGTGGGGTTTTTTAATCAAAAAAATACATATGAAATCACTGCTTGGCTTTGTTTCCAGCTGACAGAACACTTCTGTATGCATTTACTTACATTTAAATGGAATTTGATTCCAAGTAAATGTGTTTAGGAATGCAGTGTGTGTCTATCTTTGCTCAGTTCTAAAAATCCCAAAGTGTTCTTTGGCTGGAGAAAGGGACATTCCTTCTCCAAGATCTGGCACTGAGGAAGAAAATCATCTGTGACACATGTGTGGAATCCTCTTGCCACTGTAGGACAGCTTTCTCATCTCACTTTTTTAGGTCCCAGTGCACTGGGCAACAAAACTTTGCACAGTTCTATACTGGTTTTTCAAAAATAAATAAAATGAAACTTTATGCAGGGGCTTCCTTTGTTCTTTTCTCTAAATAAAAATTGGAATGGTTGGGGAAAGGTTAGTGAAATCTGACAGGAGTGAAGAAGAGGGTTAAGGGGGTAGGGATACAAGGAATAGGTGGGGATGAGTAATTTTGTTGTTTTTAAAAAACGAATGAAACGTACACTAACAAGATTGCTATTTCCACATGTGTACACACATACACAATCCAACCACCCAAATACACAAGTATTACATAAGACTATGCAAATATTTACTGCATAAGGCAAGGACTATAAAGATCAATTAGACTTCATGCTCTTTTATGGGTTATATAGACTCTCTCCCCGTGTGTGTGTGTGTGTGTGTGTGTGTTTCTGCCCTTGTGTACAAAAGAGCATTGGAAATTTAAGATGAGTTTCTAGAAATTTATTAGTTATGGTTGAAATCTCATTTGATGAAGCCATGTTTTAAGACAGACTTTCTACATGTGATGCCTTGGAGGTGCTGAACTTAGGTTCCCTTCCACTGGAACTAAACTTATCTCTGCCCTACTCTAGTTTTTAACAGGCCAGGATCCGACTCTCATTAACTACTGCAGTACAGACAACACTTTGGACTCTGAATTTGCCCACCTATTGGGAGAGCTCAGTGGACCATTCTCTATTTTTACAAGCATTTTTCTTCCACAGAAGCTATGTCTAAGAATTTGTGGTTCATATTATGATGGACCTTAGATTAAAGAGCAAGCTGCTAGCAAGAGTTCTCTTCCTTCCTGTATTTGAAAAAGTGTAATGGTTTTTTCTCATTAAAAAGAACCCCTTTGGATCAGACCAAAGGCCCATCTTGCACAGCATCCTGTTTTCACAGGGGTCAACTAGATGCTCATGAGAGTCCACAAGCAGAACACGAGTACAACAGTATCCTCCCAAACAACATTTTTGGCTGACCAACTTCACCTACAATTTTGTCCATTACATTGGGCAATGTCCAGGCCTCAGTACCTGCATGAACAGAGCTTTTTCTTTTTTATCTGGCTTGATTCTAAAAGCCATCACCACTACATCTCTGTAAACTTACAGGATCAATCCCCTACACATTTTTTTTCCTAACATGAAAGTTGAGGAGACTGTCCAGTTATAGCATGATTTCCTGTTGTGAAGTTACATGATGTGAAAATAGTGTACAGTATTACCAGACTTTTGAGATAACATGTTGTTATTTTTAATTTGTAAGATGTTATCTACTGAAAACAGTGGAAATTGTTTTAATTGAGGGCTGTAGTTGGATCCCACACTTTTCTATGAACATTTGTAATAAAGAACCATGTGTGGGCAGAAGTATTTGCTTTTTCTCTGGACCAACTCTGCTGTTCCTACAGGGAAGTCATACTAGCTAAGATGGAGCCAAGCAGATCCTTTTTACAAATGTTATTGGAGTACCATGAATTTACTTTGTCCACCAAACAACTGTCATTGGTAGGATGCAGCGGACAAAATCTGCTTTCATAAAATCCATGCTGACTGAATGCAATCTTACTTTTCTCTCATTAAGCTGCATTAATTGAGCCCCACATCAGTGTTTCCATTACTGTACCCAAAATCAATGCTGAGCTAACTGGCTTGTAATTAGCAAGGTAACTTTCGAAGCAAGGACTATTGATAGTATGATAACAGTTTGTTGCAATGGCATTATTATTTTTTATTATGTCAGAGGCTTAATGTACTGTGAATCCAATTACGAACTTTGATGTTTATTAACTGAGGACAAGGGAAACTGTGCTCTGTAGCCACAACCCAGTAGGTCACTTGTGCATATATATGACTTTATTGTCTCTATTCTAAATCTGCTCTTCTGGGGGAGGAGGTGTTTATGTATTTAAATTTAGATGCATGCTTAAGTCCTTTATCGAACTGGGGCCTGGATTACTCTACTTCCTTCCTTATAGCTTAGAAACTATGTTTCTGCCGTTTATTTGGATTAGCTTCCTTATCTTACATTCCCTTGCCACTTCTAGCTCACTAGTATTATGTGCATCTTTTATTTCTCCAGCAAGAGACATTTTCCTAATTGGCAAGAATACAGAGTCTTTTACCAAAATGCCGCCAAGTTCCTTCATTTGACATTTAATCTAAATAAGTAGACCTGGAAATCTTCCTGGAAGTAACTTTTATTTTTTTCTGCAGACGTAGCACAATAAATGTGTATACACAAGAATCAACCCCCCCCAAGGGTTTTTGCACTTATCACCACATTATAATAAGATGTAGTTACTAGGCAGAAGTTCTTCACCTACTAGTAGTGACTTTTTTTGGTGTCTGCTTAGAAATAAGATCTGCATGTACTTTTATAAAATACTGTGGAGATGAGCATTCCCCATTCAAACACAGCATCCACATGTAGAGGGGCCCCACTCTCTAAAAGAGTCTTGTTTTCATTGCCTTACTATGCCATCCAGGCAACAGAACAGCCTAGAAAACAAGAAGTCTCCATGTATATTTTTATATTTCCTCCAACCAACTCCATCTGCTCAGTTTTTAAGCTCTACAATTTGTAGAACCTCTTAGAGCGGGTTGGTTGGTGATACTAGGACACACAGGCTGCATACACACCATACATTTAAAGCACCCCCACAAAAAAACCCCCACAAATCCTGGAAAGTGTAGTTTAGGATTAACAAATTATGGTTCCCATGATTATTTGTGTGTGCACTTGTGCACTTTAAATGTATGGTGTGTATGTAGCTACACAGATCTCCCATTTCCTTACAGGGACATTGTGGAAAACTTGAAGCACAAAGGGTTTTTTTAAAAACAACAACAACACACAAATATTTCCAATAAAACAATTCCAAAATAACATATACAGCATAAATGTATCTAAACAGTATAGTTATACATAACAATGCAAGGTAATGAGGAGTTCTATATTATATTTTTTTGCATTTCCCTGATACTTAGGTCATATTGGGAACAGTACTATGCTTAAAAAGTAGTACAGTGGTACCTCGGGTAACATACGCTTCAGGTTACATACGCTTCACGTTACAGACTCCGCTAATCCAGAAATAGTACCTCGGGTTAAGAACTTTGCTTCAGGATGAGAACAGAAATTGTGCTCTAGCAGCACAGCAGCATCAGGAGGCCCCATTAGCTAAAGTGGTGCTTCAGGTTAAGAACAGTTTCAGGTTAAGAACGAATCTGGAACGAATTAAGTACTTAACCTGAGGTATCACTGTATCTCCCAACTCTGTACTGCTATTACAAATTTGAAGGAATCTTTCATGAGTCACATATTTGTGTATACTTGGATAAAAGGTAGTCAAATGGCCTGGTTAGGTTTAAGTAAGCTTTTTGTGTTCCTATTATGGGGCTTCAAGGCATATTTTATCCTCCCTGCCTCTGTCCCTCTTTGTTTAATATCCAGTCTGAAAAAGAATTTTTGAGATCTTGAAACTTGTTTCTGACACTTTGGTTACTCCTGACCATGTCTCTCCACCAAATGAACCACCATAGTAGGGCTTCTTATCATTCTTTACCAGGGCTTCTGGGTCCTTAGTAAGGTCTCAGGAGCCCTGGGAAACTGCATTTCCCAGGGGTCTTCTGCCTAAAGTACTGCTAAGCAGTCACCAAAATGGGTGTCAGGATTCCTTACTAAGTACAGTGGTACCTCAGGTTACAGACGCTTCAGGTTACAGACTCCGCTAACCCAGTACCTTAGGTTAAGAACTTTGCTTTAGGATGAGAACAGAAATCGCACGGCAGCAGCGGGAAGCCCCATAAGCTAAAGTGGTTCTTCAGGTTAAGAACAGTTTCAGGTTAAGAACAGACCTCCAGAACAAATTAAGTTATTAAACGGAGGTACCACTGTATTCTAAACTTCTCAATTTCGAACATCAGCTGCATCACTAGTGTGCAGGATATTGTAATTGTGGGTACATTATATATACGTCAATAGATTGTAGAAAAGCAATCCTGAAACTGCCCTGATCTTACTTTCCTGAAGGTTTCCAGAGCCCAAAGGAGTCACTGCACTCACTATATAGCTTTGGAAATTCCACAGGCACCCTTCCCCTGAAAGTCTGAGGTGCCTTAACCAGAAAGTGAGCCACTCAATGTTTCCCCAAAGCCAAACTCCCTTCAACTTCCTTAATATTTACAAACTCTTCCCATTAGCACCATTGCCCCCCACTCCTGCAACCCAAATGTCCTTTTGTACACTTGCTGTTACTTGACGTTAGGCAAGTTTGCAACATTAAAAAGTACACAACCCTGTCAGTTTCAAACAATGCATGGGGGGGGGCTCCCACTTCCTCCTCACTTCTTGAGGAAAAAAGAATTAAGGCTGGCATCTTTCGCACCAGCTTGTTTCTCCAGAGCAAAACTGCTAATCAGATTAAGGTGCAGTAATTGTTGATTTAGTTAATTAGCAGGAGGGGTTTATTGGGGGAAGGGTTGACAAACGGAGCTGGGAACAGAGGGAGCTCTTGCGTGTGTGTGTCTTTTTTGTCGTTGTTGCAAAGTGGGTGTTATGGGGGGGGCACTTCTGCCCCCTCCTTCTCCCAGCCCAGCGCCTCTCGTTCCCCGCTTGCCTCTCACTTCGCAGGCACCCTAGTTCCCAGCACACAATAGCAGTATTTCGCCGAGAGCTCCCCTCACGCCCTCCCTCCCCTCACCCCCCTGCCTGCCTGCCTCCCTCCCCCTGACTTCCCTAACCCCTGCTGCAGGCACAGATTTGTCAGAGCCATTCAGTTGAGACTGATTATGATTGCAGCAGATGGGCTGGATTTGACAGCCCCGATCCTAAGCAGTTCCTTCAGGGCTGCGCGGGGAGTCGATAGGCCCCGGCCGCGGAACCAGCAGCTTTTGCACACGGCGGTGGCCGCCAGAGCCCCCTCCGCGCGTCCCCTCGAGGAGCCGCCGCCGCCGCCGCGCCTGAGTGGCTCCCCTCCCCGCGGCAAGTGTGCCACCTTCCCACCCCGCCGCCTGGCCGGCCCTCCCCAAGCACATGCGAGGCGGCGGCGGCGGCGGCCCTGCCGCAGCCCGACAAGGAGCGCCAACTAGAGCCAGCCCGGCAGCAGGAGCACAACAAAGCGGAAGAAGAAGCGGCGGCGGCTAGAGCAGCGCGAAGAGGCGGCGAAGGCGGCTGATGCTCCGGGGGCCCCTCGCTGCGCCGCCGCCGCGGCCATGGGAAGTTTAGGAACTCGGGGCCCGCCGACGCCGCCAGCGACGAGCTCCTGCAAGGCTCCCGGAGGCCCGCGAGGATTATAGAGGCCCCGCCCCTGGTGCGCGCCTGCTGCAGAATGCCGCTCCGGAGAGCAGGTAAGAGGCGGACGCCGACGGCGGGGCCCTTCTCGGGCCTCACCTCTTTCTCACCCCCCTCCCTGGCTTCCTCACCTGCTCGCCTGCCGGCTTCCCGCTCCAGTTCTGGACTGGACCCCGCCCTCTGGCGTGTGTGTCCCCCCCCTCCCGGGCCGGCGTCTCCTCCCCTTCACTCCTGGGTTAAGGGCGAAGTACGGGAGAGAGATCGTCCGGGGGGGGGGATGTGCAAGCCGGGGGCGGACTTGTGCGGGAAGCAAGATGGGAGAGCAGCTGACACGGGCATGCATGCTGTTTTTGCAGAGGTTCACGCGTGCAGTGCATGCATGCACGCGAAGAGGCCGGCTTGCGCGCGGGCGCTTGGTGGGTGCCTAAGTTGCATGTGCACGGCGAGCGTGGGCAAGTGCATGGGGGCGAAGCGTGCTGCGTGCGTCGACGCCAGCGTGGGCGGCAGCTGCTCCACTTCGCAAGGTGATTTGGATGGAATGCCCTTCTTCCCGACAATGGAGCATTGGGGAGATGTCGTTTGTAGGTGTAAACACGTGCATATATATGTCTACGAGTGTGTCTTATTTTCTCCTCCTGATCATCTGTAGGAACTCATTTGTCAGGTCGTTTGTTCTTTAACCGCTATGCAAACCGGTGTCACCCTCGGCACACATGCTACTGTGCAGATTAATGCACAGACACTAGGTCTGAGCAGCAGTGCTAGCCGGCTGCCAAGTTCTCAACAGCCTGTACAGGACTAGCATTACTATTAAACATGTGGTGAGGGGGCAACATGTGGGGCAAGGGGAATGGCAGCCAGACAGCTGCTGCATAGCACTTTGGCGAATCGGGATTAAGCACAGTGGCCCTGTTGATTTCCGAATGGACGGAGTAGTTAAGTCTACAAATAGGAGACACTTGCTTCTGTCAACTTCCTGCTGTTGATTCTGTCATTTGGAGTTCCTCCTGCTGCTGTCACTACTCCACCAGTTTTCTGAAGCTCCTGCAACTCTTGCCCTTTTCTTGTCCTTTTATAAATTACTGCCGTGGAATCTTTGCTCCTTCTGGCCCAGCATTACTGTCCTTTCTGCTTTTTGTTACTGTTTCCATTTCTTCCTGCTGCTATCCGTTGCCCTTTCCCTTGCCTCTCATTTTCCTGTTCCTTCTGCTGTCCCTGCTCTGCTGTCCCATCTGCTGCTGCCCCTCTTTGGTCACTCCTCCTTTTTGCTGCTGCTGCTGTTGCTGAGGAGGAGGAGAGCCCTACAATTGTATGCTCTGTTGCTACTGGCAACTGCATGTACCGAATTGCTACGCATCCATAAGCAGCTTAATTCTGATTGATAGCAGAGAAATATGATATTTTTTAGGATGACCAAAGAGAGAAAGGGGGGTGGGGAAGAGACCAAAGCTTTCTGTGTTCACATTGTGTGTGTGTGTATTTGTATATAATTTCCATGATTCAGATTTTTTTAATCTTGGGGGTTAATCCCAGCGGCTTCCTCCTTGTGATCTGGCTGGTTTATCTAAGCTGTTGGTGTGGTTGCAGTAGACCTTTATTTCTGCTCTTCATTATCTATGCCTCTGTTGGTTCAGATAAATGAAGCTTTTCAAGTAAATTTACTTCTGTGCTTGAGCACTGAAACTGACCTATCTTACTGACCCAAAAGGATTCTTTAAAGCTCTCCGGAAGCAATTTGTAAAGAAACCAGCTCACTCCAGATAATAGAAATATTAATTTCCCTTTCTTTCCACCCTTTCTTTGCTTCCAAGTGCTGGAAGGGTTATGATCAGTGCAATTAAATATCCCACATGATCTGGTGAGGCATTAATTACACCATATGTGTTTTGTGGGTGGTGGGGGTATAAACTGTCCAGCTACATCTTTAAACATTTTTTAAAAAATTTGCTAAACAGCTAGTTTTGTCTATGTACTTTGAGTATTTTAGTATAAAATGACAAAAAGTTGTGCCTTTTTACTGTTGTACCAAACTCTAATTCCCAACAGCTACTGCATCTAAGCTAAGCAGCAAGCAGTACTGTGTGTGATGATCCTCATGCATTGTAAACATCACTTGGTGTATTCATGATTCTATTGGTTAGAGTGCTAAAGGCATAACTGTAACTTTACATGATGTTGTATTGCAAGCCTGCATGCTTAAGCTTCCTGACAGGCTACTTTTGTAAGTGACAGAACTACTTAATATTTTAGTGATACTGCGCTACATGGATTTGGAACTACTTTACATGTTGCATTATAGAAAATCAGTATAAATGAAAAAGAGGAACAACAATTGTTTAATCATAGATGCATTTTATTCAGAGCGTGCTGGTTAGTGATGGAGAGCTTAAATTGCATGGTTAGTTCTTACAACAAGTGCAATTAAGCATAAATCACAGTGAGAACTGTAGTGTAGCTATCATTTAATCACATATGATTAAGGAACCAATCAAACCATGGCTTTTTGTGGGAATTGGAAAGCTGTGGTTTTGAAGATAGTTGTTTCATCACAAATGAAATATTGTCTAGCATGTCTTCCTTGAAATAAATCCCATCATTTCTACCAGTGAGCACACATCATTCTATTTATGCCAGTACCATCTAACCTAGTCCATGAACATGGCCTGTTTCTATCCCTTCTTAATTACGTTGCTTAGACCTGCTATTCAGATGTCATTAGATACTCTCACCCTATTTAGCATCCTTATGACAATTGATACATGAACTGGTTTATGATGTGCAAGAAGCAGTTTTGTACAAAGTTAGGCCACGCGTCCATTTAGCTCAGTATTGTCTACACTGACTAGTAGCAGTTCTCCAGAATTTTGGACAGTGGACTTTCCTAGTCCCACCTGGAGATGCTAGGTATTGAACCTGGGACCTTCTACATGCAAAACATCACCTGCAGGCCTTCTCCATAAAGATGAGTTTATGGAAACTCTCCTATAGTGTCCTCCTATACAATACACTTGTTTGAATCCAACTGTATCAGTTACTGAAACCCACCTTTATTATGTTTCTTATGGTCTGTCTGTCTGTCTGTCTGTCTCTTTTCATCCATTAACTCCTTGGCATATATTTGGGAACGGAAGGGCTGATACAAGACTATTATTTTCATCATCATCATCATCATCATCATCATCATTATTATATTTTATTGGAAACTAGGTAATGCCACTTTGGGGACATGTAATTTCAGATGCCTATGCTGTGAGCAGCATTGTGACAAGTCATGTGTTGCTTCTAGAATGAACATTTTTACATTACTGCACCTGATATTTGTTTTATAGTTATTCTTAACTGTGTTTTTGGCAATATGTCACAGTACTGTTGTTCTCATAGTTGTGCTGATGAATAAATAAGTTGGCCGAAGGTATCACAAATTTTGCAGTAATTAAATATGTTGATTCCTTTACTGCATGGAAGCATACTTAATTTTAGTGTCCCAAGATCAATACTCTTCAGGATTGAGCTAAACATTTTAGACATAGAGTTGACTTCCCTATTTGCCTTCTGTATTCACTTGTAGTATAACACAATGGCTCAGTTTTCATGTCCCATAAGGCAAACCATGGCAAACTGTGAACATCATCATCATCATTTTATTTGTATGCTGCCTTTCCACAGTTAAAAACAATGCTCAAGGCAGCTTACAACATGACAAGGTTTACATAATTACAAACGTCATAAACAATAAATAAACCACATCAAAAAATACACAACCTAACTGAAAACAATTTCCACATAAATCAAAATCTAAAACTAAGAATATAGCATTAATATCACAGTTTAAAATGACATAGGTGAAAAATAACAGCAATTTAAAGAACACACACAAAAAACCCCCAGAGCCCTCTCTGCCCAGTAGCAACAGCTGCAGCAGTTCTTATAGGCCTGTCAGGCCCCTCCCTAGACCAGGTGGTGAGTGGCAGGACTGGGGCCCTCAGGCGCTCAGCAGGGGAGTCCTCCTGGGCAGCAGCAGCAGCAGCAGCAGCAGCAGTTCTTATACGGCCCATCAGGCCCTGCCCTAGGCAAGACAAGTTTCTTGGTACACAGGGTGAAGATTGTGGCCACTGATCGCTGCCTCACTACTAGGAGCCAAGCCAAACCATGACTTGGTTTAGCATTACATCCAAATCTGGGATCATGTATGTCTAGCTCCAAACAAAGCATGAGTGGCGAGCCACAAACAAATCTTGGTTACAGCTTGTGGTTTGTTTGGAGTGAGACCAAGCATGAGCCTGACTTTAGAAGCAATGCTCTTGGTAGTGCAGCAGCAGGAGGACTGTAAGAGGACCAAAGTGGCCACGATTTTCAAAATGTACACCAGCACACTTGGCTTCTTCATGCTAAACGGTAGTTTGGCATTGTATAATGTGCAAACCATGCCAGGTGTGACCTCGTTGTGCTACTCTCCCCTCCTTGCACCTACTTAAGGTCATTGGCTGTCAAGTGTAGGGAAATGCACTATACACTATGCGTGTCGCATTGCACATGTTCTAGCACATATTATCAGGAAAAGAGGGCAAAGTAACATAGAGTAGTGGCAATACTTTGTTCTGCTCCTTTGTGTGGAAGTTATATGTGTATTGACTGTGAGGCTGGTCCTACCTTTAGGCAAAGTGAGGCCATTGTTTCAGGCCATAGGTGCTTGGAGGCTCCCTGGATATATTCAGGAGCACCTTGACTGTTGGAGGTGCCACATGGCCCATCCTGCACCCCATAGTTTTTTCTGCTAGCTAACCTGGAAGATTCAACTTCCAGTCCAGTTGGCATTGTGGAACGATGGTAGCGCCATTGTATCCTTTATCACAGGAATAAGTTTGTTTTGGCCTTGCCCTGATGGGCTACACCATTCCGCTTCAATCATATGTGCTCATCAATTGGGGATGCTTTGTTGAAGGTCCCAGGTTCTCTTGTTAGAAAGAGACATGGAGATGATAGGATAGTCTCCTGTCTGAAACGTTGGCAAGGTGCTGCCAGTCAGAGTAGACAATACTGGGTTAGATGGGCAAATAGTCTGATCTTCTGTAAGATAGTGTCCTGTGTTCTTCCTGTCAGTGTGCTTCCTCCATGAGCTGGCAACGCTGCATGTTTATTCAAGTTCCTATCCTTGCCATAGAAAAACAATGGATAATACACTGTCACCATGGTCTCAGTGACTGAACTGGCAGTTGTCCTGTTTGTTAACTTTTTTTTCTTTTTTTAGTTCT